CCTTGAACTCACAGCGATCCTCACATTTCAACCTCCATAGTTCTGGGGTTATAAGTGTATGCCACTACACCTGGCTACAATTTGTGAGTTTGAAACAGCATGCCATTCTGAGGAGTGTGAGGTGGTCTAGGGCCACTTCATGCCAGCTGACCAGCAGAACAGGAATCATCTACTGTATTCTCACTGTACAAACTACCTGCCTGCCAATCACTTAGCAGCCCTCTGTTACCAGATCAACTGTTACGGTGTCACAGTGCTTGTGTTAAAATATTTTTTATTTTACTTACTAATGGGCCTGGCATAAGAGTAATGATAACAGTAATTGTATGACAGCATATTGTTACAATTGTTCTATTTTCTTTTCTTTTTGGTACCAGGGACTGAACTCAGGACCTTGTGCTTGCCAGGCAAGCCTATTTTCTTATTATTAATTTCTTATTGACTTAAATTTTATGAATTTTATCATAGATATATATACCAGGAAAAAAAAAAGTACATCCACTGGAGGCCTTTAAATACATCTAACGTGCAGGGGAGGATTGTATCAGCTAATTTACTGTTTTAGACATCCACTGGAGGCCTTTAAATATATCTAATGTGCAGGGGAGGATTGTATCAGCTAATTTACTACTATATCTCTTGGAGAGACTCATTATTTCACCTATCTTATTATTTAACTAATGGTTCACTCCACACCTACTTCTTAAAAATTCTCTGCTCATTGTCTTTAGAATCTTCTCTGTTTTCTACCAGTGTTAGAGATTGAACATAGGGCCTCATACCACTAAGAAACATCTCCAGCCCTTTTTACAGTTTTTTTCCCATTTTACATTTTGAGACAGGGTCTCACAATGTTGCCCAGGCTGGCTCAAATTTATGATTTTCCTGCTTCAGCCTCCTGAGTAGCTGGGATCATAAGGATGTGCCAGTATGTAGAGCTGTTGTCGGATTTTTTTTCTTTTGTTTTTATACAGGCACATATACCTTTATTATATATATATA